AACATCATTTTCACAACATGGTCCGTTTCTATTGTCCAGACCCATATGTTAGTCAAAATGGTTGATCATCAAAAAATTTTGAAAATTTTGATACCTCCAAATAGTAGAAATCAATAAAGTTGACAACTTTGAACCTTTATAAAATTTTTTTTACTAATATAAATGAAAAAATCTCTCAGAGAGGCTATTAATTGAGTGTTTAGAAATACAATTGTGGAATTATTATTCATATAGCTTGCTTTGTTATTGAGCTTTTACACTTTAAAGTATATCTAAATTTCCATTATTTATAAAATTGATAACTTTAAACCTTTATAAAAAATTTTTTTGCTAATATAAATAAAAAAACTCTCTGACAGGCTATTAATTGGGTGCCTGGAAATAGAATCACGGAAAAGTTATACACACAGCTCATCTAAATCTTCAATTATTTTACTATGATCTATATAAAAAATCCGCACATAGTAACTTTCTATATTGACCTGAACTATGAAGTTAAAATTATCTAAACAAAAATATATTGTTACATCAAAAATAGCATGACGTTGCAATATTCCTCTTTAAAAAAAATTAATCATGATAGAAAAAGGGAAAACAGCAGGTATAGTACAGATGGTAGAAAAAGTTGAAAATAAAGCTTTTCCAATAATAAATTGATGATAAAATATTGATAAAAATAAAGATAATCAATAGCAAGGTTATGGGTAAGGTTTTAGAAAAGAATGAAAGGATTTTAGATAAAGATGAAGAAATCAATAAAGATAAATACATCATCAGAAAATAATAGCAGAAATGAGAAATTTTTATGTGATGGCAAGTGGTTACTTACTTTTTACATTGACTGATTCTGCTTTAAGAATGATTGTATTATTAGAATTATTTCAACGTAGATATAATGTAATTTTCGATTCGTTTTTTTATTGATTCATTTTTTTATTTTTTATTTATTTTTAATAAAATAAAATATTTTATAATGATTTATTTTTCTTTTCTAGGCACTTGAAATCTCTTTTATGTTTATCTTATTGACTGTTAATATAAAATTTTATGACAATAAAAAAAAAAAGAGTAACAATCAGAAAATGCAGCTTGGGCTTTAAGCTTTAATTTCCATAGTTTATTTTTTCATAACCTTAACAAACATAAAATTTTTATGTCGATCTTGGACGAGAATTTCTAATAGTGAAATGTGTATATGTATATATAGGTTATTATTACTTCACCAAGTGCCGACGCACCAATGTTTGTTTGTGGAGCTAATTTGGATACTTATAAAACTCGTTTGTAATAAAATATCTGAAGAGAACTTTTTCGCTTTAGTCATTTGATGATTTATCATGAATAATGCATTAATATTTTATTATCTCAGCAGTTGTATCATCGATTGTATCATTCATTTATCATAAATATATTATTATCTCATCAGTTATTTCTGTAATATAAAAGGTGGGCTTGAAGTATACTAGCATCCCAATTTGACTGTGTGTGTTAAACCAGCATCACAGCGCTTGACAATCTGAACAGGACATCATTGTTATAGGTCAGGTTGTTGTTGAAATATCATGTTCGATGTTGGCCATCTTTTACCTGCTAGTACTCATTACTGTGGGTGAAGGTGGGCTTGGAAGCAGATACCCAAGTTGACTATCACGTTAAACCACATTACAGTGCTTGAAATTCTGAATGAGTGATATAACTATTCCAGGTCAAGTCGTTGATGAACTATCATGTTCGATGTTGGCCACCACATCACATCACAACGTTCAACAATTTTGATGTACTCAATTGTTTACACATGCTGGTCGTATATTAATTTTTACACATTTTGTTATGTTAGAATGAGGTCAATGGAGAACGTGTTAGTTGTTTTTGGTATGCCATCATCCAGGAAAAGCAGAAGGTAGGTATCATATTGTCATTGATTCTCATCAGGTTTTCTGTCTTTCGTCAAACTTTTTTCTTCCACTTCCAAGTTAAAGCTAACAGTCTTTAAGAATGAAAAGAATATTTTTAAAAAGAAGAAATATGTGATGATCGAACGTGTGGCATTTCAGCATATATCTCTACCTTGTTAAACATAGCATTATGCCCTTCTTTCCTCTTCTAATTAGTGCTACGCTTTACTAGGCCGAGTTGTTGTGTACCACAGCCCAGGAAGCTGGATCCCAATCGAAGGTGATTCAGCAAGAAATTGCGAGATCATACGTAAGTGAAGGCCTAATACTATACAACGTATATCAGTTCAACATTATTACATGGGAAGATGATGAAGAAAATGAAAGTTCACTATATGATACTTTCCCAATACACATCCATAAACGACCAGAATCGAATCCCATTTATAACCCAATCGGTACTTTTGCCACCAACAACCGTCTGATCTGCATTATATTCATTGTCGCCCTCTTCTTCTGCGTCATACCCGTGCTTGGTTCCTTTTGAGCCAGCTATAAAAGGATTCGTATCAGGGAATGTCTCACAAAATATCAGCTGGAAAAGAACCCGCCAAAAACGAGATCGGAATATTACAATGTCATATTCTTCAATGGTAACAATAAAGATGGTTTCTTGGGAACATTAAATGAAAATATTGTAGAGCAAATGCTCAATGATCTATGAAGGAAGGAGAAAAAAATAGAAGACGATACGGAGCATTATATTAAGTTGCTCCTGGACAACATTATTGATCGCGATATCAAAAAGACCAAAGAGAAGCTTAAACAACAGAAAGATGATGATGATATTACTTCATTTGAGAAGTAATTTGCATTGAATCTCGTGGGTCACATGTGAGTATATATTTACTTGACCTTCATTGAGAAGTGTGATGAGGCCAATGAGCCAACATTATATAGGATAAAATTAATGGAAGAGGAAAGAAGGGCATAATGCTATGTTTAACAAGGTAGAGATATATGCTGAAATGCCACACGTTCGATCATCACATATTTCTTCTTTTTAAAAATATTCTTTTCATTCTTAAAGACTGTTAGCTTTAACTTGGAAGTGGAAGAAAAAAGTTTGACGAAAGACAGAAAACCTGATGAGAATCAATGACAATATGATACCTACCTTCTGCTTTTCCTGGATGATGGCATACCAAAAACAACTAACACGTTCTCCATTGACCTCATTCTAACATAACAAAATGTGTAAAAATTAATATACGACCAGCATGTGTAAACAATTGAGTACATCAAAATTGTTGAACGTTGTGATGTGATGTGGTGGCCAACATCGAACATGATAGTTCATCAACGACTTGACCTGGAATAGTTATATCACTCA